TTCTCTCTTCCTTGTCCTAAACTTAGATCATAGATAATTGGGATATGTATACTGATTTTGCTCTGTGTTTAAATAACACTTCAAAAAAATGATGTTCCATCTATGCCTCTGGCTTTTAGGAACTATAAGAGAAAGAAAATAGAAGCAGAGGTAAAAGGATTCATTTAACAGACAGGTAGGTGTAATAAATATGCTTTTGCTCCCGGTGACTTTGAAGGCTTGACTTTTTCCACTAATGTCAGTTGAGCCAGAGTTTAATGTACTTTCCTTACGTTTTGTTTTCTTTCTGTTCTGTGTTAAGATGCATTTGTAAAACACCCTTACCAGGAGAAAAAATTGAGCTTTGATGGGAACACTTGCCTGTGAGCATGCAAGTGCATACACACCCAGTCGCTAAAGGTGCAAAGAAAATAGATAACAAGGGATTGGATTAACCTTTTATGACCTGAAGACAGTCATTGAGTAGAGTTACTCATCTGGTTCAAGTTGCACACCTATTCACAAACTTCACTGAGTCAAGGAATTAGATAATAAAAAAGATACCTGTCTGGTGCCAGAGGGGAAGCCAAATCCAATTCTTGTAAAATCCCTACTGTTCTGAGGCCATTCCACATCTCCTGTTCAACATGCATTATAAATTCTTTACTCTGACTCTTGGTGTCTGGAAGTGGCTTGTAGCACCTGTCCTGTGGCATGGGACTGATTACACTGAAAATCAACTCAGATAAGCCTGCAAACTTCTCACTTTCTGTAGTACTCCAGCTGGGCAGAAAATCAATGTACTTAGCGACATCAGTGACACCCATTTAGATTAGGTATGTTCAAATCTGCAAATGAAAAGCGTGCTTGATGCTAATATTTTTACTTCATTGTGAACTAAATGTATGTGAGTGGATGGAGACCTTTTAGAATTTGATAGAAATAAATGAATAAAAAATGCTTTAAGACTGTTTTCTCATATTCTCTCTCTATGGCTGATTTCACAATCTTATTTTCACAATCTTATTTTACATATCTTATTAAACTGCCTCTTCATTTCATAATAGTACCTGTGTTTATCTACTTGCTGTTTAAATAAATTGTTGATATTGTTAACAATTTTTTTTATTGTTAACAATTTTTTTTCTACAACCAGATGATGTAGAATAATTCTTTTTATTTTTTTCTTCCAAAATAATGGTTATTGCTTTCTATATAGATGTTGTCATTTAATAATGACTTCATCTATCAACCTTGTATCTTTTTATAATTATCCCAAGAAGTAATAAATGGCTTGCCTTTTGGTGCAGAGATAGATTTTTATTTGTCTCCAGCATTCCTCTATAAGCTCAGTGTTTTTGGGATCCTGAGAAAGTCCTTAGCCTGCTTGTTTGTTTGTCTGTTTTCAATATGGAGCTGCTGGAGAAGAAAATGTATTTACGAAAGGTAAACTAAAGGGCACATCCCTGTTTTCTTATCAGGATAAATCTGAGACAACACTAACGTATACATCACCATGCTGAAATTCTCAGGTCAGCCTACAAAATGCTTGTGACCATGGAGGGCAAGTTTCATCTTTATTCTAGTCCCTTTGTGAGACCCATGCTGGAGCAGTTTGCTCCTGATGGATGGACTCCATGGTACGGAGCCGTGTGGAGCAGTTCTTGAAGAGCTGCAGCCTGTGGGCAGCCCTCACAGGCTCAGATAGGGAAGGACGGCATCCCGTGGGAGGGACCCCATGTGGAGCAGGGGCAGAGAGTGACTGTGAAGGAGAGGTGGAGATCAGGAACTGACCGCAGCCCCCATTTCCTGTTGCCCTGCACCACTCTGGGGAAGGAGGTGGAAGAGAGTGGATGTGGGGGGAAGGTGTTTATAGTTTGCTTTTTGTTTTCACTGCGCTGTTAGTAGTTGGCAATAAATTATATTAATCTCTCTACACTGAGTCTGTTTTGCCAGTGATAGTGACTGGTCTCCCAGTCCTTATCTCAGCCCTGTAATTTTTTTTTCCTTGTATTTTCCCTGTCCTTCTGAGGAGAGGGAATGAGAGAACAGCATGAGTGAGATTAAGATGCCCATCAGTTGTTAAACAACAGTGATTGAATATCATTTTCATGAATATTGACCAATGATCTAGATCAAAATTAGAATGGTAAAATTGAGTATCGTGATGATCAACAATTCTCTGTGTGAAAACCTTGATTAAATGGACAGTTTTAATGGGCAGACTTATTGATTGCTGTGGAGTAGTGTCCTTAATCTGGAGAATTCCAGAACTGAATTAACATTTTTCTGTCCTACAGCAATGAGAAAGAATTAAAACTATTAAAATCTTTATTTTTCTCTCTCTTTTTTTTTTTCCCTTTTACTATAGTTATCATGGCCTAGCAGTGAATATGATAAGCTGAAGAAAAAGTAATTAGAACAATATATTTGGATTTTTTTTTCCTGTGATCATGATTTGCAAATCAGCACCGTGTGATTCTTACACATTTCTTTGTGTGTTTGAAACTCCTGGGCTCTAGGAATCTCATTGAGCTGTGGCTCATTTAGGATTTCTTTGTGGGAAACCTTCCAGCAATAAATGCTGTTCCAAATGTGCTATCAAGCTTTATGATTAAGTTGTTTCATATCCACAACTGGATGACTTCATGTTTAAAATAACATCTCCCTGCACCCCTGAGATAATTTTTTTTTCAGCAGTGAATTTTATTTTAGGCACTACAAAAGACTCTGTAGGCACACGTTTCACACTTCTCAATCTTTCATATAAAACAGAAATTAGATTCTCCCAGTGCTGGTAAAAAGTAAGTAAAATAAAAGATACCCCCAAAAAGTCAATCTGAAATGTCACTGCTAATGCATCACATTGATAGAAAAGAGGTTTTTATTAGCTTGTAGCCAGTCATATCCACTGTACTGTTATCTCAGGAAAAATATCTACATTATAGTGGGGAAATCAATGACATTTACTGCTCACTATGCAGTACCTGTCAATAGAGCAAATAAAACCTCTGTCATGCTGTGTTGGAAGGATAGCAGAAGAAAAATACTAGGGAAAAGTTGAATGCTGAAGGTGTACACAGAGATTTTTTGATTCTTAGGTTCGATTTCCACTTCAGCCACAAACTTCCTCTACAGCCTTGTGCAAATAAAAAAAAAAAAAAAAAAAAAAAAAAAAAAAAAAAAGACTTATGAACCATAAGTGGGACTTGAGAGGGATTATACATGTGGGGGATTTTTTCTTGTGTAAATCCAAAACTTTAATCCTTAAAACCATTTATTTGTCTCACAGGTGTGTGGAAATTATTGATGTTTTTAGGAGGGAAGGTCCCTTGCGCCTTACAGCTGTGGTTGGGCTGATGTCCGACATGGGACACCAGGACATCTACTATGGTATTCCCTCTGTCAAGTCCCCAGGGCCATTTTCTAGTCACAGCAAATCTGAAGGAAATCTGAAGGAAAACCTGTCATACTATCATTTAGGTATAACTTGGGTAAGGAGGGGGAGACTCAGGTTAATGCCTTAGACTGTCTGAAGAGCTTCAAAGCTACAACATTCACTTACCATCAGGACAATTGACCATTAGGTCCCTAAGCTTTACTTAAAAATACATACACATGGGCCCAGTCTTTTAATATGACCCTGTTCTTGCAGAAAATGGGTTTCATTTACAGGAACTCAGTGTTTTTCAATGGAATTCACCCTGTTGTGTAGGAGGACACTTAAAGAGACAGGCATTGATTTGGAGGTTGAAACCCTGGCTTCACTGAAGTCAGTGGGAGTTTCATCATTGACTTAATAGGCCCTCTATGTTTTTCCTATGGTTTTATCACCTTTGTTTCCTCTTCGTAATATAAAAAGCATTTTCTCAAAAACGGAAATGAAAGCTCTCCTCTTTTGTTTCCTTCATTTTCAAATTATTTGAATCTTTTTCAGAAACTCAAATAATGGGAAAGTGAGCAAGGACTATGACAAAACATTCTTTTCACAGCCTTGTTGGTTTGTAGTATCATCTCAAGTGCATGGGAAAGCCTTAAAACCATTAATGAATCTGAAGATGCATGGAGAAATTCAGCATTATATGTGCAGTGACATTGACAACCTGCAAAACAGAGACGCTGTGTCTGCTTGTAAGGCTTGTGCCTATTTTTTTGTGCTGTAAGACAGCAACATAGTATCTGCGGAGTTGGTGTCAGTGTCATCTTAAACTTCCATTGTAGCTTAAGGACTTACTTCAAGCAAATAAAGGAGGAAATATGTTTCAATCAGAACTAAAAAGCTGTTACCCCTCAAGATAAAAATAAAATGGGGCATTGCCTTAGTATTGCAAGGCATCTCATGAAATAGAGAGTAATTAATGGAAGTAATGCAAAAATTTTGAGAAGAAAGAAAGAAAGCACCATATCTTTCTGGGAAAAAAGAAAAAAAAAGGTCAGTGTTTTGCAAAAATGACAAAATGTTGTGGCAGTTTTTTGTTAAAATCAGTACAATTTTATGAAAAATATCAGCTTAGTCAAAATGGCATTTCCTGAAATGACTCACATTTGAAAGAAAACTTAATTAAATCCTTCAAACCAACTAGTCTTCTATCTGAAGTACACAAATGATCTTCATCATTACCATCTGGACTTATAATCTTTTGTGTATTAACTCTCTGATTGCTCTTGTGCCATAAAGAAATATAGCTAGACTTGTTTCAGAAAAGAAGCATTGAATTTTGGAGGACAAGACTTTTGAAAGTATTTAGATGACTGTAATGGCACACTAGCATCAAGATTTTCAAATTTAGAGAAGCATTAGTTGCTGAGGCGCCATCTATTTGTTTCTCTAGAGACATGAATACTTTTAAAATCATGTCTTTTGTCCTTTTGTAAAAAGCCAGTGTTTCAATTCCAGCATCTTTGCTTCCAGTCCCACTCACTATTCCAATCAGAGCAGTCTGTGTCAGCTCAACATGACCTGTTCACACCAGAACTTCAATCACACTGGTTTATACAGAAAAAGTAATAAATTCACTTACTTGTGCAAGTCTTGTTGTATTTAGGGTTCTCTTGAGGAAACCCTTCCAAACGGCACTGGAACCTGTGCTGCCAAAATTCCTGAAACCATGGATTTCGGTGATTGGTTTCTGGCCGAAGCTGCAGGTAGTAATCATCAAACCATTTCACGTCAGGAGACTGGAGCTTGATCGTTATTCCACCAACGGCTTCACGCTGATACCCATCTGTCACATCGTACCTGTCTGCCCAGCCATCACTGCAGGGATAAATGAAAGAGAGACAACATTGACAATTCAACAGAATAAGAAAAGAGCTTTCTCAAAAACAAAATTATGAGCCTAAGAGCACATACCCACACTTGTGATTCTGTTTTGAGTAAAGCACCTGCAATACTTCTGCTAGGATTCAGTGTTTTTCTTTTCCTTATGTTTGCTTGTAACTGGCACCTTCTACTTAGATAAAATATTCCTCATCTTCTAGGTAATTGAAACAACATTACAAATCACAGATCCTGAAATCGGCTCTGTATAAACACAGCTCTGCATCACACAAAGCTCCTGTGAGCTCTGGGGAGAAAAATTGTGGAGTGTTTTAGTGACACTGGGTTGATTTTTCTCTTACCTGAAAGGAGATGACCTTGAGGACAGGATCTCTGACCGTGCTGAGAGGCAGTGAAACAAAGCACTGTGTTGCCGACTATGCCTCTACTACACAGTGGGGCATGGAACGAAGAGCTAGAGGCAAATTTTGAATGAGTTGACACTGCTGAAGCAGAAATGCCAGCTAAGAGCTCAGCTGCTGTTATAGTACAGCATCGCATCTGAAAATATAAATCCTCTCTGCAGACATGACTAATGAAGTTGGGCAGAGCATTATGCAGATGTCATGTTTTTCTCCTGTTTCTTGGTTGTTGGTGGTTGGAGTATTATGGATCTTGTGTGGTACTGTACCACACATAGAATTTTAATCCCCTTTGGTTAACCTCTCTGCTTGCAGCACTCTGACCACAAGTAGCTAACAGCAGTGACTGAAAACCCAAATCAAATAAAATGTCCCAAACGTCTTAGGGTAATTCCCTTCTGGTTCCATAATGGAGTTCCACAGAAGTACTGACATTTATTAAGTTTCACTCAGCTCTATTAAAAATATGCATATCTCATTAGAGCAATGCAGAATTCTGTTCTTTTATCATGAGCATGATATTTCAGATTATCAAAAGCCCCAGGTCTTACAGTCACAGAACTGTAGAATAGTCTGATTCTTTTTTACTTTTTTATTTTTTTGTTCTCTAGAAAGGCACTGATGTTAATGATTGTAGAGAACACCTTTAAATAGTAAAGGTTGAATAACTGAAGGATTAAAAACAAAACAAAACAAAACAAACAAACAAACAAAAAAAAACCACCTACCTTAATTTATTTTATTTTAAAACTTCATGCATTTTTCAAAGGTAGCCCTAACTATTTTAAGCTAGTCATGGAGTAACTGATGGAGGTGACCTTTAACTGTATCATTCTGTTGTTCTATTTTGATCATCTGATTTCTGGTTTAAACTTTGCTCCTGTATTTCAGATCATGCATTTCAGTCTGCTGCAGTCACCTAGCACATTCTATATTCTCTACATGGAGACTCAGTTGTCATCACACAGTGCAGAAGTCAAGACCTCAGACAGGGACCCCTTCTGCACAAGACACTATTGTCATGAATCCTGTACCCTTGATTACATCTCACAAACACAGCTGCAATGTCAGTAAATAAAAGTTTCAGCAGTGCAAAAAGTAATATCCAATATCTGAAAGTAAAAGGAAAGGACTACTAAACATGCTTTAGATTTTAAATGCACTGATTTACTCAGCACAGAGGAGTAAAATACACATTCATGAAAGGAGAGATGAACACTGATTTTCAGCCTGAAAACAGCATTTGGAAAATTTATCTTTAAGTTTAGATCCACTTAGAGATGTTAATGTTAGGAAGTCAATTAACAGGAGTTAATGTTCCCAAACAATCTCAGGAGGCTCGCTATAGGCAAAGTTTCCACCTTCCATCAGGACTCTGTAGTTGTCAAAGACTTAGCACTTTTTATAGGTTATTTAGTGATAAAAACTTCAGACTTTTATTTTATTTTATTTTATTTTATTTTATTTTATTTTATTTTATTTTATTTTATTTATTTATTTATTATTTTTTTTTTAACATATGAATGATTTTGCCTTTTCTTTGAAACATTTATCTTAATCTTTGGCAAGATTTTAAGCTGTTTTATTCATCCTCACAAAATCTGACAGGTTTTATGAGTGCAGGAAGCGATAGATTTTCTGTAGGTTTAAAAAAGTATTAATACTGAATGGAATTTGACAGAAATAGAGCTGTGCTGTCAGTATCTGTGTTTTATGAGTTCCCACATAAACAACTTAGAAACTGTTTTACTGTAATTAATTTCTTTATCATTTTTCAGAGGAATAGCTTTGTAGACCTAATCCAGCAGAGTGCTGTAAAATTTATAGTATTACTTTAGAATAGTTATCTCCTCTAAGATTTGCAACAGAGATATAATTTTAAAACTTTAAGTTATTAAAAAGATATAAATAACAGCTTCAAATTGCGTAACTCTTCTTTTCAACTTTTTCCACAGAAGGACTTTTTAATTCAACAGAGCTGCTTTTCATTCAGATAAGTATTTTAGCTTAGCTTCTTGGTCCAGAGGCTTTTGGGAGGCTTATATAAAAGATTTACTCAAAGTGTGCATTGTAGAGACAACAATGTAGAAACAACAATACCTCAGACAGACAAGGTAGCAAAGCAAACACTAGACTAATGCCTTAAAAGCCAGTGAAAGTGGTTTGCATAAAAATGCAAAGGCACCAGTTGTGTCTGATATTTTAATTCTGCATCCATATTATATTAACAATGCTTATGGGATGTCAAAAACAGGATGATATAGCTGTGTTTGTCAGATGCCTTTGCTATTCTATGAACTCAGCAAGGGTTGTGAAGGTGAGGGAGAAAAGAAAAGGTGTGTCCTTACTTTGATACAGATTTCACAGTCCCTCCTTAGAACTTCTTTCTTCTCCTAATGACTTAATTGTACTGCAGTACATATAAGTTACCAACCTCTCGATACTTTTCACTTATGCCATTGTGCATATATGCTTGTAGTTTGAAATGGAGCATTTGACTCTTATGGAATCATAGAATCATTATGTCACTTTTCTCTTCATATGACCACAAATTAACTTTCCTTGAAGACATCTAATAGTTTAGTCATTGCTTTTGTTTTACAAGCAAATGAATTAGTTGGTTTGTTTGTTTGCTCTCCTAACATCTGTCCCTGCCATCACAGCAAGTTACAAAGACCAGCAGTCATCTTCAAGTGTAACACAGAAACATGTAATTTGAGATTTAGGATCATCCCTTTATTTTTTCCATATTATTCTTTTCAGGTAATACAAGACCCTGTCAGAAGAGGCAAGTTATTTGAAGGTGTTGTCCCATTCTGAATGGGTACTTCCCTACTGTATGTCATGATTGCTGTACTAGCAAGTTTTACACAAGCTTGAATTGTAAATTTAGATTTTAAACTACAACATGGAATTTTAAACAGGGCAGTGTAGTCTGGCAACTTACAGTGTGTCTGTGCCTGTTCAGGCTGATGTGTCAGTATGTGAGCTACCCAGCGTAACCTGACAAACAGGGATTGCGAGGTAATAGAGAATAGATAATCCATTTCTCATCCTTGGGGAAATGTTGCATGTATCCGTATCACCATAGACAGTATCTTTCTCTATGATATATAAAACCTTCCAATTACAAACCACTCTTGAGTAATTTATTCCCACACTCAACTACATTTATGAGCAGAATGCTGTTTCCCATTATGCAATAGAATGATTCTGACTGTAGCTTACAGCCATTATTTCTCATTCTATTCAAGAGATGAAGAACAGACTCCAAGTCAGCCAAATACCTCCTCCTTATATCAGTCAGTGCAGTGTAGGTGCATTCTCAAATTCACAGGTGAGACATATATCTATAAAGATATCTTTGCAGTCAAAGAGAGCATTTTATACACTAGAGAAAAAAATATATTCCTCCAGCTCTGGTACAAATATGCTTCTATGGATTCTATCCTTGACCTTCTCCACTATATCTCCACAAACTCTCTTCTCTGAGGATTATCTCCCATTGCAAAGGGAATAAACTGAATATCACCTCATAACCTTATGTGCCGTTAGTTCTAACATTGTCTTTATTGAGCTAATGAACCACCTCACATTTCTAACTTTAATGTTTAGAGACAGATATTTTAGTAGCAGAATATTCCTAAAAGCTGGAAATGGTGATATCAGAGTTGAAGAATAAGACATTTTCTTCCATCAAAACCTGAATTATTTACCTCTGCAATTGTTCTATGTACCAGAAACAGGTGTTGTTGTTTTTTAACTGATGGGCAAATGTTCTTAATATGATCCCACCTAGACTTAAAGATAGAGTTGAGTAGGAAGAAACCTTACTGTGAAATGAGGCAGTATTTGCACAGCTGCAGCACCAAACCTAAAAGCCCCTTGCTGAGATATCTGTCAGGTGTAAGTGGTAATGCATATATGTCATTCATCAGCTTGTCCAGATTTGTCAACAAGAAGTTGTCACAAAGATAAGATGACTATGACATGTGCAGATCTGGCTGGTGTTAATATTACACTCACATCTAGCACAGTGGGGAATTGTCTTTCAGGATTGTGGCATGTTTTCCCTTGTCCAGTTCTTTTGTGTTTGTATTTTTGACAGTCATACTAATGTCTGGTGCACTTTCTTTAATGACTTGCTGTGTGATATAGGATAATATCTATACTATATTAAATAAAATATATCGTTGTTAATCATGTTAGAAGTGTTATGAAGAAGTCATCGAAAAGGTAGTTAATGACTATACAGGCAATTCATTCAATATGCATGGTGGTGATGGCTGCTTTGGGCTTATACAGTACAGTCAAGAAATTCCTAACCCTCTTGAAAGGGGTTTACAAAAAGGTGAAGTGAGCCATTCCCTGTAAGCAATGAGCTAAATATATAATGCAGAAAATGTCTTGGAAAAGACAGAATGTATGTTGCTCTAAAACCACTTCACATCTACTTGATATTTAGCATTATGATCAGCCAAACGGAATATGTTACTGATGTCAATCTGATTATCTTGAGTAAAAGGGATTTGCAGAGCTGATTGATACCTTCCACAGCACTAGCAAACTATTAGA